AATTTTTGGAAGAGGTTTAGCTCTTTCAAAATTTATTTTATATATTAGGTGCATTTATTTCTATAAGTAACGGCTTAGCGTGGGCTTATTTATGGACATAATATATAATTTTAAATGTTTTTTTTTGTCTGATATACATATTTTTTAATTCTGAATCACTAATACTTGCCCAAGTAATATTACAGTAGCTAATGTAACTGTGGATGAATGAGTAATATATATCTTTTAAACATGTTTTACTTAACAAATGTTTTGTTTTATGTATAATACCTATTGTTTTAGAAATTTTATTTTCAATAAGAATAATATTATTTTTTCAACTAAGAAGTTCATCAAATATTACTCCTAAGACTTTTATTGATACGACTCTTTTTACTGAAAAGTTATTTATCTTTTGCTTAGGAAGTTAATGAAGCAAGTTAACGGATAAAGTTGGTTGATGAATCAAAGCATATTTAGTTTTACTGATGTTTAACCAGAATTTGTTTGCTTTGAACCAATCAATAAGATTTTCAAGTTTACAATTTACTGTAGAAAAATTTGTTTTTATATTGGAGTTAAAATAAAAAAGATTAGTACCATCGGTGAAAAGAATAAAAATAGGCTAAGTTGGTGTTGCATGATGAGCCGAGTGCCCTTTTCTAAAACCAAACTGTTTATTAGATAAGATATTTTATTTTTCAAGATAAATATATACTCTATTATACATAATGCGTTCAAGCAGCTTAGAAAAACAGGAGAGAATTTATATTGGTCAGTAGTTAGATAGTATAGAACTATCGGCATTTTTTTACACTGGAACTACTGTTGCTATTTTTATCAGACCAGAAAAAATACTAGTTGCTAATAAAAGTTTAAAAATTAAGTACAGAGGTAATTCAATAACATCTAAAACAGCTTTTAAAACATTAATATTAATATAGGCAAACCATGGGGTCTTACTTGGTTCAAGTCCATTAAAAGGAACTCCAAATTCATTTACTGATAATTAACTAGTTACACAGTGAATTTTTAAATTGAGTTGGAATTTTTCCAGAGTTTTATCTGCTGCTAACTTTGCTTCTATATTTAAAAAGAAAGTTTTTTAAAAACTTTTCATAGCGGTTTTGTTTTTTTCTGAATTATCTTTTAAGGCCAAGTTTCATCCACGGGTTATTAAGTGTTTTAGAAAAAGTAGTTTTTACAAGTTTTAGAGAATATATTTCATATTGTTTAGAAAACAATTGTATAAACAAGTTGTATGCATCATTTGTTGCATCACTTTACTTAGTTAAAAGCCCCCAATTAATTTTTCTAATAATTCACAAGTTCGTTTATAGATTGAATGTTTATTTACCTTACGAATGTTTTAGTGGATATAATAGCGTCAGGTATTACAGAATAAGTTTTAAGAAAATTTGGAAAGTGATTGCTGGCATCATTTTTTAAGATGCTGCTTTTCATGGTTTTCAAATACATTAAAATAACTATTTTTAAAAATATTTTTGGACTTTTGGTTAATCATTTCAATTGTTAATGATTCGCAACTTGCGTCATTAGTATTGAAGTTTTCTTATTGTTTAAAAGAATTTAGGATAAAACCACGCCGTTTTCCAAAGTTATTATCTTCAATTAAAACCAGATAGAAACTAGTTAATGTTACATTCATCTCCATTTTGACACCATGTTGCTTTTGGACAGATTACACTAAATTTGTAGTTTAAGTTGTTTGAGATTAGCTTTAGGTTTTCAATATTTTTTCTCGAGCTTCTAATGTTCAAATTTAATAATGAAAAACAAGATTGAGAAGATTTTAAATAATAAGTTATTTCATTTACATCAGGGTTATATTGGTTTATTAAAAGTACCGTATTTTTTTTAGATATAACAAAAACATTTTTAAAAAAATTTTCGCCGTTTTGAAAATATAAATACCCAGAGCGACGAATCTTGCATATCTTACTAAGATCTGTAAGATCTTTCTTATCTTACATAAATTAGTATCTTCATAAGATTTGTCAGAAATATTGATAAGTATTGTGTGAAATATTTCTTTGAATATATATAAGTTTTGTCAGAAATACATTTTTTAATAACTGTTTTCATATAAAGTCTTTCGGTCATCAGTCGTTTAATTTGCGCTAATTTTCCAAGTGATGTCGGAGATGAATTGAGAGAGTTTTTTTTACTTGTAATATTTTTTAGATATTTGCAAAAAAAAAAATAATATATCGAGTCTAAGATGATATCTACCTTTTTAAAAAAGAAAATATTGCATTTCAACGTATAAACTATGTATCCTAATCAGTAATTAATATCTTCCTATTTTTAAATTTATAACAAATTTTACTTTTATTTATTCATATTATTTTTTTAATAATATAAATAAATAAAACTACCAATATCTTTCTAACTTTAAAGTTATTATTAACATCTTTTTATTTATTTATAAACTTTTTTATCCTCATTATTTTAAAATGAAAATTAAACTTAATAATTTAATATTCATTTTAAATAATGTGGATATAAAAAGCTTTGGTTAATGACATAGAATCATTGGCTGTACCCAATACACTTGCACCACGTTATAGACCAAACCATTAATAGAGTATAAGTGCACCTTATATATGTATTTTGTGTATAATATAGGCCAAACCGTTAATAGTGTATGAGTGCACCTTATATATGTATTTTGTGTATAATATAGACCAAACCATTAATAGTGTATAAGTGCACCTTATATATATATATATATATATATATATATATATATATATATATATATATATATATATATATATATATATATATATATATATATATATATATACATATAGTAGAAAATAAAACTACGTGATTTTACGTGATATATATATATATATATACATATATATATATATATATATATATATATATATATATATATATATATGTATGTATATATATATATATATATTTATATATATATATATATATATATATATATATATATATATATATATATATATATATATGTATATATGTATATATATATATATATATATATATATATATATATATATATATATATATATATATATATATATATATATATATATATATATATATATATATATATATATATATATATATATATATATATATATATATAGCGTAGGGAAGACGTGTTTTCATGAAAACTTTTCAGAATTTAATATCAATATAGATTATTTTTAGAAACTAGAATATTTAAACTTTATAACTGTTAGATTCATTATTATAACTAGATAGCTTTTTTATTGAAATTTTTTATGTCTAAAACTTTGTTGTACTTTGGGCATGAAAATAATGTCAAATATATGCTCATCTTTTTTTCTACACTATTCTTTTTTTTAATATTTTATTTATCTATGCACCTGCCAAATTTCATTGAAAGAAGTTTTGTAGCAGAGTTTCTATTTTTTGTCTCACTTTTGGTAACTAAGTTTCCTTTTGCTTGATTTGGTCACCGGAGACAGAGGGATTAATTAAACATTTTTATTATTTTGATTTAGATTAAAAAAAATTTCATTAAAAATGGAAAGTATTAACAATGATAAAGGTTTTCAATATTGTTTTGTATTTATTAAAATTTTTTGCTTTATTTCAATGTTAAGTTAATAAATGAATTTTAATGTTTCCTTACTTAATAGTTAAATTTAAAAAAAATGTAACTGACACATTATAACATATTTTATCTTACATTATAAAATAAAATATGTTAAAATATATTTCTCAAAGCAGTCCATTGGCAGCAGCCAATAATATCAGTTAGTTGTTTTAAACATTCAATATTCATTAGTTTCTTTTAACTTAAAATCAGTAGATATTGTTTAGACAAATGTTTGTGTTATTTTTTTAAAAAAAGATTTTCATTATTTTTTTAGAGATACTTTTGAGAGGATAAGTCAGGTTTTTTTGTGATTTAATATTTTAGTATTTAGTCTTACTCTCAATATTCAATTATATATCTTTATCATGCTATGTTATTTTACAGATTTTTATGCATCCACAAAGTTTTTTTACAGTTGTTTATTTATATATTCCTGATTATTTCATGTTTTTTATTAAGTCATTGTTATTTTTTTTCAATAGACAGTTTAGAGCAAATTATTAGTAAGTAAAGGTTGAACTATTTTTTTGTTTTTTAGTCATTTGCCCTTTTTTTTTTTTTGTAATGTTAGTTTTATAATTTAATCTTATAATAAAGTAAGTAATTTAAAGTACGTTTTTAGGTAAAGAGTAGATTTGTAAGTTTAGTAAATTTTAACAAGCTCAATGGTATAGTTAAATCAGCATGTATCATAATACATGCTGACTGAAGATTATTACTTTTTTGATACACGCTACAGGTGTTTATTTTATTAATACACGCTAACTAAAGATGTTGTAACAAAAATTGTAATTAAGTTTATTTTAGTGAACGTTTTAATACTATTGTTTTATAATTACTTTTATAAATGTTATATTACTATTGTTACTACTTATTTCTTTTTAATTCTTTAGTAACACTTACTTTATTTAATGGTAAGAGATTAATGTGTATTTCTATTTGTATTTATGGAGAAATATAGTCTGACTTGTGCATGTATTGTGTGTGTATTGTGCAGTATTGTACAATTTAATATGTACTATGTTGTTGTATATTTAATATGTGCTATGTTGTTGTATATGTAATATTTATATGTACTATTTAATATGTACTATGTTATTGTATATGTACCATTTAATCTTTTGTACCATTTAATCTTTTGTGTCAATGTATTATTTAATATTTAATATCCTTGTCATCTGTCGCAGCTGCTAAGGGTCTATATTATTAATTTGAGAGGTTAAGTTTTTAAATGATAAGTTCATGTAGCGCGTAGAAATTTATTGCGTCAGGCTAAAATTAGAGCCAATATTTCCCAAAGACAGGCATCCAAGCGCCAAAATATGGATAAAAAAGAAAAAAGTAAGAGCGTTAGCTATCCAAACTAAGTTTGATGATGATGAAATTATAGATTCATACAAAAACTTGTCCAATGAACAACTTTATGATTTAGAAGATGTCATATGTGGAAAAATTGGAGACAAAAAACTATACCATGAATGGTATGATCCAAATACATCAAATTCTGTTTTGTATAATGGCAGAGTAAAGTTATTAGTAGAAAAAATGACTAAGTTTACATTTTTTCTTACTAGAAAGATGATGAAACGTATATGGAAGCTGTTGACCATTGCATAAAAAAGATCCAGCTTGTTGCAGTTGTTATTTCAGAAGAGTTACAATTGTATTAATTTAATATTACATTAATAAAACACTGTGAAAGTATAAATTTGAAATTTAAGCTAAAATAGTACTAAAAGTGAATTGCTGAAAATTATTACTAGTGTTGTGACTAGCTAAAAGAAACTTGTTATTGTAATCATTCACTAAAAGCCAAGACAAAACTATATAAGATAAACAATAAACAAGTTATTATTATTTCTTTTTAATAATTATTAATTTTTTAGTTTAAAACATCTGAAAAATTTTTTAACCAAACTACTATCAAGCGCTATTTGAAAGATTTAAAAATTATTAAAGGTTGGCTAATAAAATGGATATCAAAACTGTTGAACATTCCATGAAAAAGTTTCAGCTTGTTGCAGATATTGTTTCCGGAGAGTTGATTAGATATTAATTTATTAAAACTAGGGATGGCTCTTTTACTTACTTTTTTTTTACTTATGCGAGTAAAACAATCTTTATCAAAAAGTAAGTTACATAAGTAATTTTAAACATTTTATGTAAATTTATATTTCCGTATAAGTAATTAATTTTTTTGAAACGACTTTTACTTTATAATGTAAGTTTTTTTACTTTTAAAAGTAAGTTATGTAAAAAAAAATTAGATCAAAAAGTAATTTACTTTTACATGTAAAAGTAAGTCACGTGAAAAGCTGTTTACTTTTACATTTAAAAGTTAATTACTTTTGAAAATTACTTTAAGTAATATAAAAGTTACTCAAACTGTAATTTACATTTACCTTTAAAAGTAACTAATTAAAAAAAATTATATTAAAAAGTAACTTACATATAAAAGTAGATTACATAAAAGTAATATGCTAGCAAATGTAAATTAGATTTACAAAATAAATAATATTTTTTAATTAGGAATTTTCTATATTAAAAGTAATAACATTTCTTTATTGAAAATAATTTATATAAAATAAAGTTTGAATTACATAAGCTTACATTTTATATAATTTGTAAAGTAAATTAAAATTAATTTATATAAAGTAAGTAAATAAATTTACTTATATTTTACAATAACTTTGACAGGATCTTGTACACAAGTAATGCAAAAAAGTAAAATTTTAAGGAATAAGGCATAAGACATTTAGTTTTCCCCAACATTCGATTTGCGCGGTTTTAAATATTTCTTTCATGTAAAGTTTGAAAAATCAATAATAGGGTTCCGCCCATGATTAAAACTCTCTAGTTCCGATCATGATAGTTTTAGCTATAATAAACATTAACTGAAGCAAACCGTCTCAACAATGTTCACTCTCTGGCCAACCGTTCGAAAGGTCAGGACAAAGCTGAAAAAAGGATGTTAGCAGAAGGCGCATATACCCATGGGAGACTCAGAAAGGGTAGTTTATTTGAAAGAAAACTAATTGGCATAATTGTAAGTCCTTTTTACAAGTTTTTGCGTAAATGTATTTATTATTTAAAAACTAAGGAGACAAAGTTTAAACTTGTCCTGAATTATCGGGGCTATAACACCATGCCTTGAAGAATAAGGAGCCCCGAACATTTTCAGAGGACGCTTTAATTTTGTAAAGATTTGATGCCATTTTGATACTAAAAAAGTCCACCTGCTCAAGAATATTCTTTAACTTTAAAAGTCTTGGTTTAAACAACTACGGTACTTTTATATTTAACTATTTTGAGATTTGAGCAGCCGTGGCGCAGTGGTAGTGCACTTGCCTCAGAAACAAAGGATCCGTGGTTCAAACCCCATTTCTAGGAATGTTTTGCGACATCGGTTAGGAAGAAAGCGTGAACTTTCAATTAAATGCTCATCAGCGGTGCTCTGTGCGAAGACCGTAAGGACTTATAAAAAAAACAAAAAATTTAGAACTTTTCACGTAAATATCTTTATCTGCATGTAGTATCAGTGGCCTAGCAATGCCAGTATAAGCAAAACTTACGGTCCAACAAGAAACTGAACCTCGAGCCGCAAGGTTTAGGAGATTTATTTAAGATATATTTAAAGAGTTTTTTTTTGTTGTTTTTTTTATAAAAGTTATTATTCCAGAGAAATAAAAATTGGGCACCTTGGTCACGTAAGCCTGGATACAAAATACCCTAAACATTTACCATCTCTTCTAAATGTGAGGGCAACAAATTAGTAATGATTTTTTTAAAATGTATAATTTTGTAAAGTTTACACCTTCGCCTAATGAGGTGGTTGTTCCATTCTTTTTCTAAACATTCTCATGTGATAAGCAAGAACAAACTAATGTTCGGCACTTAAGTATGTTTTTATTTATACCAAAATAGAGCATAATATTAAGGATAATTTAATATTATGCATTATAATACAAAATATTATAAAAATATTTTAATTTTAAATTATTTTGAAAATATTATGACACTATCAAAAATATACTAAACACGTGCACTTTTGGATATATAAGTTGTGCTAAGTTCGATCGATATAATGTACTCTGGTTCAATACCATTGTCATAATACCTATTATTTTGTAATAGTTTATTTTATACATGAGATTTAAATTGCTGTTAGTAATTATTTCAACCAAAATTATTACATTTTAATAATTATAATATATCATAATTAAAACCATATTTTGTCTCAAAAATTTACTTACGTAAATTTTGAGACCAAATTTACTTACGTCATGTTAATATAATTATTAAAGACATCATTATATTAATAGTTATTCATAAAGTCTTTAAATGAGTTTAATATGGTTTTTAACAACACATAAAAGGTTCTCAGAAAACCTCATTTGTACGTAACTATAAAATAATATTATTAGTTAAAGGCTGTTGATTAATTTATTGTAATTGGTTTGTTGATAAAAGGGATCGTTGCATGTTCAATTTGTAAAGCTTTTTTACATTGCAGCATAATACCACGCAGCACCGCTCGTTTTTAAATCAATTTAAAATTAAATCGTGTTTTTTGTTTAATAATTTTTTTGATGAGTAATATTTTTTATAACACCGTTATTTTTGTATGTTTAAAAAAAAAATTATTCAAAACACCCTGCAAAAGTTACATAAAAAAAAAATTTCTCTGTAAGTTAAGAACCAATTTAAACGCCCTTTGGTGTTTTAGCAACTTACATATTAATTTTTCAGGTAGTGGAAGTTGGGGTACAGTAGATCGAAGGGCACCGTGAATAAGAGTCATTTTCTCAAAGATTAGAATTTTAATCATCTTAGTAATGTAATCATTTTATGTGCTCATATATCAGCCGTCTTTATTTATAGTAGTTACCACAAAGTATTTGATTACCGGTTTTTGGTAGGTAACTTTTGTTTTTAGCTAACTAAAGTAAATTTTCTTACCTTCCTTATGTTTGTTAAGGAGATTATAGTTGAAATAATTTTAAAAGTTAAAGTTTTTCATTCGGATTATTGATATTTCCTTTTAGTAGTTTAGCTTTTCTGTTAACAACACTCATGTTCCAATAAATAAAACTTAAATTAAATTTGTTATGAAAGGGCACAGTGAATCGGGGTACAGTGAATAGGTTGGTTCACTAATGTCCAATTAATGATCTTAAAGATTAAATTCATGCATTTTTAACAAACAAACTACATGAAAATGAATTTATTAGTTTTAAGTTTATAATAATAATATTTGAATAATTTTTTAATTTTTTAATATTTTTATAAATTTTGTTATCAATAAAGTCCTTTTTTTTCGTCTCAATTTTCAAAAGGTCTATTTTTACAGTGTCTTTAGCTTTATATTTATTTGACTATGCCGCTAATCACTATAATTAAGTTACAGCTGTGTTCATTGATTCACTGGGCTCCAGTACTGGGGCATAGTGAATAACGTAACGCAACTCACTCTAAACTTTTCTGTGAGCCGATAGATAATAAATAATTGGGTTTTAGTAACTTATCATCATGAAAAACCTATATCTCAATCCTTTCGCCTTAAAATAATAAAATACATATTTTAACTTTTGCTTAATTTAAAAAATAAAATCCGATTGACTGTGCCCTAACTTAACATATATTTCCAAAAGTAACCTGCACCACCACAATAGTTTCTACCTTAACCGGTCAGACCTCACTGGGTGATGACAAATATACCAACTTATAAAAAAGCATAAATAGTAGTTCTACCAGTTCTTATTCAAGATGGCTACCCACTATTAAAAATCGCCAAATAAAAAAAATACACTTTCTTATTTTTTTAAGGGTTTAACTTTATGCACAATCAAATAAAAAAAAATTTTGATTGTTGTTTATAGTCGAACCCTTATACAACAATCAAGTTTACCCTTACTTAATTCTCTTGAAAGGTTTGGAGTTTCAAAAATATAAAAAAGTTACTAAAAAGGGTCTTAGCATCAGTTAAAAATTCTTTTAAAAAACCTACAGATCTCGATCTCAACATCAAAAACTAAGCTCAATTAAATACAGTTTTAATGTTAGAAGAACAGAAAATGATGGAGAATTTAATGCCTTTTGTTCTTTTTTTAATGTATACTGTTTTTTAAAGGTTTTTATTTTGTTTTTGTTTTTGTGCTTTACTCCAGTTGAAAATTCCCTACTAACAATAAGTTGAAATTTTACAATCTTAGTGAGGTACGACACACCCGCCCCTCAAGCATAACCCAGAAGTTGCGCACGATCTTTAAAGAAAAAAATAAACTCTTTATGTAAGCTAGTTAACTTGTCGTGAACTAGCATATATAAAAAATATTATCCTTTTAACAATATACCAAATTGGACTTACACGTTTGGCTTCCCCGAAATTGAATGTGAGCATGTAGGTCAGCTTAATTTTTATGACAAAAAAATTACAAAATTACAAAAATTTTATGACAAAAAATGACAAAAAAATCTTTGCGACAGAAAAGAAAGGTATAAAAACGAGCATAAAATTTTTTCAAAAGATGACACTGGATAGATCTTCTTGTTTTCATAAAACTTTTATTACTTTCACGTAATCTTTTCCCTAATATTTCTGAAAATTATTACTATTTTTCAAAAGTATTTAACAGTTGTAAAAGTAATTAACAGTGGTGTAAAGATCTTA